TTTTGTAGTTTCAACTCTTAAATTTAGGTTTTCAATCCTTTTAAATATATATATAGCTGGGAAGTGAAGCCTCTGGCTAGAAGCCAGAAACAGGCACTTTCTTTTGATCCATTTTGAGTTGATTTTTGTACACTGTGTACCACAGGAGTTCATTTTTGTGCATATGGATATCCAGTTGTCCCAGCAGCATTTGTTTAAAAAGCTATTACTTTCCCATTGAATGGTCCTGGCACCTTTATCAGTACCTATACTCTCAATCACTATAAAAGTGTGTGTGTACTTCGGTCATGACGTATTTCTTACTGTGTGAAACACTGTGCCAAAAAAAACTTGTAAAGGATGCTGTGTAAAAGGTGTGAAGACCTTCAGGCAACAGAAAGGACCACTTTAGATGCAGAGAGATAGACTTACTAAAGCTACTATAGTACTCTAGTCAAAAGAGAAAGGTGGCCTAGATAAAGGCAGTAGTCATCAAAAAAAGTACACAGACTTTGGCAATACTGAAGAGCTAAAGATTAGCAAGATTTGTCATGGATTGGATGTGAGAAACGGGGAGAGAGAGTTACCAAGGATGACTCCCAGTGTTCTGGATAGACAGGTGATATTATTTATTGAGAGATGCAACTTAGGCTACACTGAAGTCTTAACGCACTGCACACTAATGACTTTTCAGGGTACTACTTTCTACCTCCTAAAGGTAGAAAACTGCCCCCCAATTTCTTTGTTAGGCAGAATGCTACATTTTTTCCTTACTTTCCTTCCTTTGAGTCAAAGAAAAATTAAGAAAGTATACGACTTCTGTAGATGCTTTGTCTAAAAACAATGTCCACAAGGTATGCACTTATACCTAACTTCTGCCTTCCTCCCTCAGGGATGGCTTTGCCTCCTAAATGACAGGTATATGGTAACCAAAATATCTGAACTTCTTCAACTTCCAGCTTCCACTTACAAAATGACTTGTATTCTCATTTCCATTCTTTCTTCATGAATTAATGGACAGAGCTGTGTCTTTCTTCCCATTCAAGTTCTCTCCTGGTTTTCTGGATCCCACTCTTGCATCCCCAGCGACAACGCTGAGCTAATAACATCCTTTCTTACCTACATCTTCCTCTGTCATTTAAGCAGCTCACCCTCTTGTGGCAGGCCTCCATCGCAACTGTTTCAGCACTGACTGAGTGGTTAAATTAAATGTTAAAAGCTAAAAAAGCCAGTGCCCTTATACAAAGGCTGGAATATAACAAAAGCCCATTAAGAGTTTTCCCTAGGCTTTCCTGGGCCTTAAGTCATGACAAAATAAGGAAGGAATTCTTAACAGGACTCAATAAGGTTAAACAAGTTTGTTTTGTTTTGTTTCCTTTTTCTCCTCTACATTCCCTTGTTATAAACAAGTTTTATTGAGGGTGTGAAGAAACTCCCCAGGCCTCCACAGATTTATTGGTAGTCTAAAGGAACTCCCCAAACCTCCATGACTTAGCAAGCGACAACAGAAGGGTAATCATCCCAGCACCTAGACCCATTTATATTAAGTAAACTTACTGAGGCAGAAGAAGGTCTTCAGGACTCCAACCTTAGTTACAGATTAAAAGAAGTTAATCACTTAGGTCTTCAGACGAATGCACACTTACACATAGACATACAGCTTAAAAAGTATGTATGTTCTGAAATACTTTGTGATTTTGAGCTGGTCTGGTGATAATTTCCAGGCCTTCTCCCTATAATCAATTACAGAAATAAAAACTCTCTTCCTCCCCAGCTCATCTGCATCTTGTTACTGGGCCGTGAGGAATAGCAGTAGACCCTCAATTTGGTCCAGGAACACTATGGACTTCTCAGTCTCTTCCATTTTTGTTGAAACTGTTCTCAGGGCCAACAATAACCTCAAGCCAGGTACAGTGGCTTGCAACTGTAATCTTAGCTACTCTGGATGCTGAGGCGGGAGGATCTCCAGGTCAAGAATTCAAGACCAGCCTGGGCAACATAGAGAAACTCTTGTCTCTAAAAAAAAAAAAAAAAAAAAAAAAATTTAAACAATTAGCTGGCCACCATGACGACATGTGCCTCCAGTCCCAACTACTGGATAGGCTGAGGCAGAAGATTGCTTAAGTCCAGAAGTTCAAGGCTACAGTAAGCTATGATCACACCACTACACTTCAGCCTAGGCAACAGAGCAAGATCTTGTCTCTTTTTCTGTTTGTTTGTTTTGTTTCTTATTTCAATGATTACACCATGAAGATCTTGTCTCTTAAAACAAACAAATTAAAAAAGGAATGACCTCTATATTTTTAAATCCTTAGACCTCAACAGTGAGGTAGTGTCAACAATTTTCATAGTTTTAATAGCACCTCTACCATTAATTTTCAAATTTGATTCCATTTTCTAATTTTCTCTCAGACTGTCTTAGAAAGAGTAAGAGGTAATGATGCTTCTACTAAAGCAGCTTTAATTTTGTTTGGTATGTAGGGGTTGTACAAAAGATTTCATTTAAAAACAGTATTTCTGCCCAGCGTGGTAGCTCATGCCTGGAATCCCAGCACTTTGGGAGGCCAGGGCAGGAGACATGCTTGAGCCCAGGAGTTTGTGAACAACCTGGGCAACATGACAAAACCCCATCTCTAATAAAAATACAAAAAAAGTAGCAAGGCATGGTGGCACATGCCTGTAGTCCCAGCTACTCAAGAGGCTGAGGTGGGAAGATTGCTTAAGCCCAGGAAGTCCAGGATGTAGTGAGCCCAGACTGCCGCTGCACTCCAGCCTGGGCAACAGGAGTAAGACCCGTCTCAAATCAAACAAACTTTATTGAATGGATGAATGAATGAATGAATGGAGTTGGTATAAATAATAGACAGCTAACTATACAAGATTCAAATACTTAAGAAGTAAACTTTGCTTCAGCATGAAATGTCAGCATTTT